TATTAATTTATATTATACTAGTTGAATTTATTTATGCAACGGAATCAGAGATCTATATATGTAAACTAGAAACTCTGTCTGGTTTGTGGAAGCTCATATTCTGAAAGTAGGGGTGGCGTAAAATTGATAAATTAATTCTGACTCAGTATATTGATACAAAGTTATTGTAACATTTTGACTTATTTTATAATAAAGAACTATAGCCATAAAGCCAGACTTGTATGATTAAAAAATCGGTAAAATTTATGACCCGAGTATTTGTTTCAGTAATCTAAGGTTAATTTCTGGTTGGTTTTTGCAAATGTTTGATTTCCGGGATTTTATTACCAGTGGTTTTTACGACTCGCCAGTTTATTACCGACAGTACATTTTATTTTCTCAATAAAACTCAAATTACTAAAATATAAAATTGATACAAAAATGAATTAATTGGAAGGTATATCTATTTAAAAGTGAATTATCAAAATTCACTACCATTCATACGCGTTTCGATGATTGTCCTGAATGAGCTCCTGAACTACTGAACCGATTTTAAATTTTATTAGCTCACTTTGTGCATTTATATCCAACTTGGCACCTTATAGTGAAAATAATGTATTATAAGAAGTTTCAATTAATTTTGACAATTGAAAGAATTAATTACGTATACAGTACCAACAAGGCATAATATAGTTTATGATATAAGAATCAAAAAGAATATTTGAAGGTACAGTTGCTTTTCGTATATATAAAATAATGTTGATCCCCAAAGAGTATAAAGAGCCTCAGAAAGGTGTGGCAAACCTTTCACGTTATTATATTTCAAATTACTTTCAAAAGTAGTTCATTGACATGTCAAAAAATAATAAAAAGCTTTTATGGTTGACCTATTTTTGCACCAATATTAATTTAATATAATACAGTGAAATCAAGAACATAATTAACTTATTGAAAACTAATAAATAAGTGACTTATTATCGATTTGGTCATATCCAAACAGTTTACATTTTTACATGTAGGTTTGCATTATTTTAGAAGTCAATTTATATGTCAATATTTATGAATAAAATTTTGATAAAATCTATTTCAACTAAAATTTGAAAAAACTATCTCAAAAATACTATATTATTCAAGTATATCAATTCAACTCTAAATCTGATCCTAACATTTTTTTAATTAATAAGTTAATATTTATGCTATTTTATAAGGTCGATTTGCTAATATTTTGTTATGACGTATTTAGACGTCTTCTAAGTAATTATTGTCCAGATGTGATTTTGCACCCATAAAAGGAGACAAGTCGTCATATTTATTGATAACATGAACATAAAAGACAAGAAAATTATTTGACATACTTAATGAACTCAAACGTAAAAATCAAATGTGCAGTTGAACATACAAACATTCAAATATGATTGTCGTAAATATTTAGTATAATAAATTTCATGGGAAATATTCATAAAAATTTAAAAAACATTTAATAGACCTATTAAAAACTTGACTGTTCTATTAAATTACCTAAGAAGTTTTTTTCGTCAGAAAATTTGATTTGCTGATTTTATGCTATTATTTTATTTATCTACACTTTTCAGATTAGTCTAAATCATTTGTTCCCAAAATTTGAACTGAGTCGATGAGTGTATATCACAAAATTCGACTTTCCTAAAAACTTGCTGTACCAATTTTAAATTTAGATTGGCTCATAGAATGTAACTGTTCTGATTGCCATTTAATGTATATTAATATTAATATATATATATATATATATATATATATATATATATATATATATATATATAATTCAATTGAAGAATATAAAATTTTCTTTTTTGATCTTTCCAAAATTCTATTAATATCTAATAAGGTATAGCTTTTAAAAATAATTTCAAAACCCAAACATAAAGGCAAAAACTTCGAAAAATGATATGCAGTTCGAGTTTAATTGAAATAATTTTAAAATTGTAAATTTATGGACTAAACATGTAATAATCATATCATCCTTATAGTCGAAATGAAATAGGAGCTTTTTTCATTTATATTTTTTTCTTCATACTTTGTTTCATCAATCTTCGTTACATTGTAAAAAGCATAAAAGAAGCTTTTCAACTGCCTTTTATCAATGATTTGAATGAATGATGCTCGCTGATGTATGTAATTTGCATCACCATTAAAACAGTTAATAACTCATATGAATCGTGTTTGAAAGCTTTGCATTGTTTGGTTAAGAGGCATTTTAGAAGACACTTTCTACACTAATAGTTAATATTTTGTAATAAAAGTTTGTAGATTGATGGTCAAAATTTATTCTCTCATATATGTATTTAAAATTTAGTTCAAAAGGCTTTCGAACTCGATCCATATATTCGTGCTCTCAGCTCGTAAAAGCGCCAATTAAGAGCACAAAAATCTAATTTATTCTTTTCATCGTAAATTAAATCTAAAATCGAGCATATGAGAACTGGAGCGTGATGTTTCTTCAAGTTCATGATCTGCTTTGAGAATAATAAAATTATGAATTCATTTGTTAATTATTATTGAACAATTGAATAATGAATGGCGGTTCGTCGGCCCGAGAAGTAGTAGTAATAGAAATTGTGGTCAAACTTAAGACTCCAGATTTTTTTAGTTTGCACTTTTTCAATTTGCAAATAGCTTTTGTTTGTAATATTCAGATTTAAGTTCTATTACAATATCCCGTTATGGTAGTGATCTGCATTAGAACCAGTTTTATCTTATTGACCAGACGAAGCGTGAAAAACACGTTCCAACAATCAGGATATAGTTTTTTCTTCCGGTTTTTAGTTTATTAGGAAATCTTAATAATCAGATAGGTTTAATGCAAATTCTGGAATTATATCTAAGTAATGGGCAGTTACTTAAAAGTTATGGAGTTACTTACATAGTAATAGTGTAGCATGTATTAAATTGTACAATTAGTAACCAGTAATGAATTAATTCATATGATTTTATTTTATTGTTCAGTCGCAGTTCTACTAGAAGATTTTAGCTTTTGAGACTCTATGAGAAGATCATTTGCTATAAGATTTTGCAAAATTTAAAAAAAAGATCTTGTTTACTTAATAAACTTAATAAACTTGGAAACAACAATATCGACCAATAAGAACTAGTTACGAAAATAAGAAATAATGTTCTTTAATATTAGTAAAACTTCAGTTCAAAGAAGTCGAAACCTTCGAATGTGTTAACAAAATCCATATTTAAAGCAGAATTGGGGGTTTTATAAGCTATTTGGGATAAAATTCCTTAAGTTTGTATTATTACAACACAACCCATTGGTTGCGACAATTTTTTCTAATATTGTACAAACTATAAACAAATTTATCGAAACAAAAATTTAAAAAAAGGAGCCAGAGAACATAAACTTGTATTTTATAAACGTAATATTTCCTAAACAAATTTATTTACTAAAACACACATTAGGCACAAAACATACTTTTGATTTTTCAACGATAATTTTACTATGATAAATCTTATAACTTTATTTTACATTATTTTTACACAATCACACAAACAAATGTGAGTTAATTCTAGATCCTACCCCCATGAAGTAATGTCAGAGACAAAGGACAAGGGACAAAAAATAGTGGAAATTTGGAATATGTAAAAATATGTTCTTCGTTATTTATATAACGGACAAATGTAAATTCAGCATCAATTCTCGGTTTTCAGAAACATTGACAAATTGTTATTTCATAGTGTTTTGCTTCCTTAAAATTCAGAACTGTTAAGGTTAACAGAAATATCTGAAATTACAATAGTTTAAAAATAAACTATGATTTTTAATATTGGCTATAACATAATACGGATATAAATGCACACGATTGACCAATAAAAATTAAAATTGGTTCAGCAGTTTAGGAGTCCATTCCGGACAAACATCGTGACATGTTATATATATATATATATATATATATATATATCCATACCAAATATATTTATATATTTGGTATGGAAAAATAGAATTATTCGTTCTTCTATGTTTTGCATGTACACGATTAAAAAAAGTAAAAAATAAATACAGAACTCAATAACGAATTGCCAAACGATATTAAGATGACCAATGATAACGATAATTTTAAAAGAAAAATAAAGTACTATAAGGAAATTGAAGACAAAGAAGACTGAAGAGTTATATAAAATATATAGATATTATATTAATGAAATAGATATTATAGTCAAATGAAATGTATATATTATATGAAAACTGTTTTTCATAATCTCTCATACCAGGAAACTGAGATATGAAAATAATATATATATATATATATATATAAATAAATAAAATAAAAAAATTAAAAAAAACCTACAGATGGACATGAGAATATCAAGTACTGAACATCAGTACAACATCATTGTGCAATAACAAAATAATTACGACGTAACTTTCAAAACCATATAAATTTATCTATGACCATCACTGTTCTTTCCAACAGATTCCTCTGTATAAAAAAGCGTTCGCCACTAATGTGTTTAACACTTGTTAAATCTTTCTACATACGCTATTAATGCAATAAAACATGATGAACGCATTAAACTTAACATACATGGTCCATAAAATCACTTGATGTCGCCTTTAATCAAGTGAACCATTAATATTATTTCTTGCCTCGACAGCCTCCGGGCCTTTAATTAATCCCAATTAGACAAATCGTACAATCACGGACCATTATGGATGAATTAACAGTTAACTCGATCTTAAAACAGTATGAGAAAGAAGAATGTTATTTTGTATAAAAAAATAGTGATTTTGATAATAATTATAATAGATTAACATGCTGCAAATTGTCCTTTTTAAGATCAGTTTTGATTATTAATTGCTCCATCACGATATTGGATTAATACAATGAATCTATCTTATGTGATTCGTTATTTGAATTCATTTAAAATAATTGCTATTACGCTCATTGTACGCTTAATTTGTTAGAATTGTATGCACTTAATATAATTAAATATGAATTCATATAATAAAGTCTTTAATTGCATTTTTCTTTTGATTTCAGAATGAACGGAACTAACGGATACATCAACGGAGATATGGACATCATAACGCAGAACCAACAAAAGTAAGTTAAAAATTATGCAATATTAACTAGTCAATTATAATTTAACATGAATTTATTTTCAAATAAACAGCACTAATTAAGTCATAACTCTAGGTGTTGCGATTTTTTAACTTCCCGTAGAGTAAGTTATAGTAATGGGCAAAAAATCGAAAATTTTTGCATATCTTCACGTTTCAAAAGGTTTCTGAACATTTTAGCATATCTCAGAACAAATGTTCCTTTTGAATCATTTGAAAACAAAATTGGAAACAATGTCGCGTCGACGTTTTCTTAATAACGGCTGCACCGATTTAGCCAAAACTTCTGAATCGATTTTAAAAATACAAAATGTAAAATGGTTTGTAAATTTAAAATTCATATTTAAAGTATAAAACTTTGTATATTTTTGAAAATTCTGAAAAAAGTCTGAAAATTTTGAAATTTGCTTGAACCGTATAAGTAAACTTAAAAAATTAATAATCTTGGTACAGAACCCAAAAAAGTTGTAACAAAGTTTATACTCATTTTTTTAAATTTTATCAAATATCTGAGTATTTGATCAGCATATGTCATCAACTTTTCATTTTCGTCAGTACAAGTAAAATGTTTCTTGAATCATTCAAATCGGGTACTTCGTTCTCTCAAAATTTGAATTACCGTTTTTGGCACTTCTTGCCTCGTATCTTCGAAACGGCTGGACATGTCTTTACCAAAAACTCATCACCACGTCTTCTCATCAATATGAATCGAATGTTTTTTGAATCATTGAAATCCGGCGATTTTTTCGCTCGAAATCGTGGACGAAAAATTGTATCCAAACACACACACACACACACACATCTATTTTTTCTAAGGTATGTCAAAATGTTCAGAAACCTTCAAAACGTGAAGATATGCAAAAAATTTCATTTTCGATTTTTTGCGATTACTTTAACTTACTCTACAGAAAGTTAATAAAATTTGTCAATAAAATTTGAGATTTACCATAGATCGAAATTTCGAAAATAAAGTTGTTTCAAAACTCATTAATTCAAACTCTAACGATATTTTTAATTAAACTACTTTTTGTATAATTTAGCAATCTAGTTAATCATTACGCAAAGTTTCGTTAAAATATTAGAACGATTCCCAACAATTGAAAAGTTTCAAAAAGTTTTTGAATTTTTAAAAATGATTCTGAATTATTTGTATAATTTGAATGAAAATTTATGCACTATTATACTATTTATAAGGAAACGGCTGGGCTGATCAGGCTAGCAAAATTGATCAATTCAAGTCTTGATCAAGTTTCATCGGATGACTTTAAAATTCTTAAATTACACGCAGTCTACGAAAATCAAAATTTTGCTAGATCTATCAATTTTGCTCTCAAACAATTCAGAATGATTTTTTTTGTTTTCAATGCGAGTCTTAAGATTATTTTTTGGGTTAGGCGATCTATTTATTTGATAATTTAAATAAAAATCATCTAAAAATTTTTTTAGGGGTTGGTGGACAATTGGTCTAATCAACGCTAAATATCGCTACCTCACTGCCGAAACATTTGGATTTAAGGTCAACTGCAATGGAGCCAGTTTGAAGAAAAAGCAAATCTGGACTCTGGAACCAGCTGCCAGCGGAGAAAGTAATAATCCGTACAACTTTTTATTTCCCAGATCACAACAGACTTATTCACTTAATTTATTTTTCTAGGCATTATCTACTTGCGCTCCCATTTGGGCAAATACTTGTCCGTTGACTCCTTCGGAAATGTTATGTGCGAAGGCGATGAACGCGATGCTGGATGCAGATTCCAAATTAGTATTGCTGATGATGGCACTGGAAAGTGAGTAAAAATAATAAAAAAACATAGAAGGATTTTTATTGTATTTTAATATTTATAATTTTAGATGGGCTTTGCGTAATGAATCCCGTGGTTACTTCTTGGGCGGGACCCAAGACAAATTAACTTGCACTGCCAAAGCTCCGTCCGATTCCGAATTCTGGATCATACATTTGGCAGCTCGTCCACAGGTAAGGGGATAACAAAAACTAGTTGTAAGTGGCAATTTGCTTTAAGGCAAATTGACTGTATATATATACTGGGTTGTTCGGAAAGTAACTTGGTCGTTATTGGCAAAAAACTGAGCAAAGTGCTGTTTGACAGGCTAATTTGAGGTAAAGGTTTTACCACCTAAAAATGTATTTAGTGGCCGGAACAAATAATGATCCGATGATGACAGATCTGGAGAATATGATGATTGTGTCATTGTGTCCCATTCAAGCTTTAAAACCTTTTGGCGATTGACCAAACTTTTATCAGGTCTTGCATCGTCTTGATGTATGACTATACTTTGTTGTGGGTTATTTCTGACCTTTTCTATTGAAGTATATCATTTAGTTTATCTAGCTGATGACATAAGGCAATTGAATTAACGGTTATGTTATCCTAGAAAAAATTAAAAATGAACAACCTCTTTAAAATCTTACCGAACATACTGCATCACCTGTTTCTGGCAGATTTCAGCTTTGCTCCTGTTTTGAGCAGGTTTTTCTTCTTTGTTGCATGGGCAATTGCGTGTATTGTATTCTTCACATCCCATTTAAAATTCCTAGTGACACTTTGCTTCAAAACCTAATAATTTTCAAAACTTTTCGGAGGCGAATTGCGGACGGCAGTACGACGAAATACGTTTCTTTCTATGAGAACCATACACTGAGTTTCGAAGAAAAACCCAGACCTTTTGAGTAGTCATGAACTGTTAAATTTGATATATTTTCACTCAATGGGATCTTATGTACTGTTATTCGTCGATTTGCATCAACTAATGCCATTTTTTTATCACCTTCAACCATACTTCCTGGACTTGGTGCGTCTTGGGCAACAAAATACCAGGAAGGAAATTTAGCAAATCAATTTTGGCACTGTCGTACTATCAACACATCATTTCTGTACACATCGGTCAATTTTATTTTGACCTGACGAGTTTTTTTTACCTTTTCGATTGCAAAAGAGTAAAATATATCGAAAATGCTGTTTAATTCTTTCCGTATTCAAAATAGCTGTAGTCATCCAAAAACTGCTGCATGTAATTGATTAGAATTTTTTACACACCAGCCTTAAAATATAAGTTTAGAAATCATATAATAATTATAAGGCTTAAGTGTGATGGTAGGTTCAAAAAAATATAATTAAATTCTGGTGGTAAAAAAAGAAGTGACTTTTCAAACAACCTTATATAAACAACCTAACAAGATTTGAGGTTCAGCTATTCAGATCACATGATCAACCGTTTATTTAAAACAACTGACAAACTTTCGATGTACCTTATTGAGTTATATCGAATAGCTTTTAAATTTTTGAAATCGATCAAGACAAATTTATTTTTTATATTTTTTCTAGGTGAATTTGAAATCAATTGGCCGCAAACGTTTTGCGCACCTTTCAGAAGCTCAAGATGAAATCCATGTCGATGCAAACATTCCATGGGGTGAAGATACTTTATTCACTCTTGAATTCAGAGCTGATGAAGGAGGAAGTTATGCTTTACATACTTGCAACAACAGGTATGATAAATTGGATTGTACCTAAAAGAATTGTTATTAAAACATGTTTTTATTTTTTTTAGATATTTGTCATCTACTGGTCGCTTGGAAATTACTTGCACTAAAGATTGTTTGTTCAGCGCCGAATATCATGGTGGACAATTAGCTTTACGAGACAGGTATTTTTTTTAACTATTTTATGTTCAATTATTTTAAATTTTGCACAAGCTCGATTTAGAAATAGCGATTATACTATTGTCCTTTCTATAGATCTGGCAGTTATTTGTCTCCAATTGGATCCAAAGCTGTTCTCAAAACACGTTCCCAAACTGTGACTCGTGATGAACTGTTTTGCCTGGAAGACTCTTTGCCTCAGGCCAGTTTTATTGCTGCAATGAACAGCAGATATGTTTCAGTGAAACAAGGTAAAATTAATAAAAAATATTTGTAATTCAGTTTATATATAAATCTTAGAAATATGAGATAAGGTCTTTCATTAACTTCCCGTAGGATAGTTATAGTAATGGGGCGAAAATCGAAAATGAAAATTTTTGCATTTCTCGACGTTTTGAAGGTTTCTGAACATTTTACTGGCATACCTCAGAAAAAATGGATGTGTGTGTGTTTTGTATAACCGCATTCTTTTGTCCACGTTTTCGGGCGCACGGATTTGAATGGTTTAAAAAACATTCGATTCCCATTAATAGGGAGATGTGCTGATTAGTTTTTGGCAAAGACAGGTCCAGCAGTTACGGAGATACGGAGCAAAGAGTGCAGAAAATACAGATCGAGTTTTTGAGAGAACGAAGTATCGGATTTGAATGATTTCAGTTTGTAATGCTTGGGAGAAGAGGTGATTAGTTTTTGGCAAAGACAGATCCCGCCATTTCGAAGATACAGAGCTAAATGTGCAGAAAATGGCAGTTTTTGAGTGAACTAAGCGTCCGATTTGAATGATCTAAAAAACTTTCTGCTTTTATTGACAAAACAATTGCTTTTGAGGATAAAAAATTATTACATCTTTTTTTATTTTCCATAAAATATTTTTGTAATTTTGGATTAAAAATTCAAAAAATCACCCAGGCTAAGCACAGTCTAAGCGCCACTCTGGTACAAATGTTTGCCCAAGTGCGTTTAGACTGTTTATGTACTGGAGCACTTTTCCAATTTTGTGATAAAGTAAAGTACATAGATCAAACTATTGAAAAATGTGAAAATGCCGCCAAACTGAGCACGATATAAGTGAAAATGTCGCACACAATTATTTGCAAATGCGTTTAGACTGTGACTATACAGGAGCACTTTTTCAATTTTGTGCAAAATTAGGCAACTGTTTTTTTTTTAAATTGAATTCGATATGAAATGACGATTGTTAATGTTAGAGAGATAAATTGATTTATGATTTACATTCGATTTGCTCAGGCATAACAAGATAGCAAAAATAACGAAAGTTACAGTATTTGTAATAATATATTTTTAAACGTTTAAAATTTCTCGAATATTTCATTACGGTACAGGAAGTTCCAGCAATTTGTCTTAAGGCACGATGTCATACGCCACTAGTCTACTTTTTATGTAAACGTATAGAAACGACGTCGTACTTAACATACGAATAATAGACGTTACCAATCTATTTTTTTAATTAATTGCAATTTTTGTTTTTCTACCAGGTGTTGATGTAACTGCTAACCAGGATGAAATTTCCGAACACGAAACATTCCAATTGGAATTCGATTGGACCACCAGACGTTGGGCTTTGAGAACTACTCAAGACAGGTAACAAAAATCAAATATTTTGTGAAATCCTTATGATACTTAAGCAAAAATTTTATTTCTTAGGTACTGGTCTCTGGAATCTGGTGGAGGAATCCAAGCTTGTGGTGACAAACGTTCAGCAAATTCATTATTCGAAATGGTTTGGCAAGCTGATGGCTCCGTGGCTCTGAGAGCAAACAATGGCAAATATTTAGCAACAAAAAGATCTGGACATCTTTTTGCAAGTTCTGAAACCGTGGAGGAAAATTCAAAGTACTACTTTTACTTGATCAACAGGTAATAATAGATGACAGATAAAAATCGTAGTTCGTGAAGATGTTATAATGTTTAATATGATTTTTGCAGACCAATTTTGGTGTTGAAATGCGAACAAGGTTTCGTCGGTTACAAGGCACCAGGCAGCACCAAACTGGAATGCAATAAAGCTTGCTATGAAACCATCAGAGTTGAAAAACAAGAAAAGGGAGTTGTGAATTTCAAAGGTAATATATATATATAAAGTAAAATTATTAATTTCCCCTAGGGTAAGTTATAGTAATGGGCCGAAAATCGAAAATAATTTTTTTTGCATATCTCACGTTTCAGAACATTTTGGCATACCTCAAAAAAATTGATGTGTGTGCGAGAGTATGTGAGTGTGTTTTGTGAGTCCGCAATTTTTCGTATACGTTTTCGGGTGCACGGATCAACCGATTTGAATGGTTTAAAAAACATTCGATTCCTATTAATAAGAAGACGTGCTGATTAGTTTTTCGGGAAGGCAGGTCTAGCCGTTCCCAAGATATGGGGCAAAATGTGCCAAAAACGGTAATTCCGTTTTCAAGAGAACGGAACGTCCGATTTTAATAATTCAGAAAACATTTTATTTATATTGACAAGATGAAGAACTTTTCAAATTTTTGGGAAGGCAGGTCTAGCGGTTATGGACTCTCAATAAAAATAAGTTAAAAAAATGTCATTTGGCGGTCCATAATGTTTATTGGACTTATGCACTTCAAATTATCAGATATTTTGTACAGATTTTAATAATATGTACACATTTTGTGTAAATTTTTTTGGGTTCCGTACCAAGATTTTTAATTTTATAATTCACGTATATGGTTCGAACAAATGTCCTCGACATCCTCAGCCGATTTGTATGATTGAAAAATCATTTGTTTCGTACTCGATCGCGAGGCGTTTTTACAAAAGACAATTTTGCCGTTTCGGAGGTATGGAGCGCAAAGGGTGTAAAAACGGTTATGCAATTTTTGAGAGAACGGATCATCCGATTAGATTAATTCAAAAAACATTTTGCTCGAGTAGCCGGTGTGTAACAAATGCTTTTACAAAAAATTACGTAAATTTGAGAATTTTCAAAAAGAATTTTGGATTTTCAAAAAATTCAAGTATTCAAAAAATTCAAATTTTCTAAATTTTTCAACATTTTCAAAAATAAAAACTAAATTTTGAAAAATTTCAAAGTACATCAGAATTTAAAAAGAAAAACGATTTCTTATGAAGATTTGAGAATATTTCGATTTTTAATAAAATCGAATATTTTCAAAATTCTCAAAAAATTTTAAAATCTTTTTTATTAGATTCCAAAAATATTCAAACTTCTAAAAAAAATTTAAAAATTTTGATAAAAATCTAAACTATTGCAAAATGTGTTGGTAATCGCATAACTCAACAAGGCCTGGACCAATTTGGTCAATTTTTTTTAAAATGTTCGTTGAAGTCCAAGGATGGTTCTTACGGCGAGAAAAAATCGAATAATTGCCGGAAAAGCCCTGAAAACAGCCCTTTTCTTTTTCACATACAAACGTTAGTATTTTCATATTTTTGGCATCGAATACGGAATATTTACTCAAGTCAACGAAGCGATTTGGGTTTGATTTTTTTTACTGTGCTCCAAATCGTATGAAATTTTGAAGTAAGGTTTATCTTACTCTCAAGTTCAAAAGTGAAAATAATTTAGACTTTCTTTGCCGACATCCCTTTCAGTGGTGTGATTTCATTTTTTTTAAATGACGTCGGATATCGATAAAAGAACTAATTATAAAAAAAATGTTTTATAATGTTTTTCGAAAAAGCAAATACTCATCATTTTATTTAAAGCAGTTGTACATTTAAGATCCATATGGGTGGATATATATATTTCGGTATAGACTGTAGTGTAAAAAAACATACCAATTTTTAACCAATTGGTAAATATCAGTATAGATTATTAAATAAAATTGAACTTTTGAATTGTAAACATCTAGTTACGAATAAACATACACAAAGTTGTTTGTAGCATACGCTCGTCGCCTAATGTAATAATCACTTATACATAAGTATGTATTTATAATAAATAATCGATTTGAAATTATTCAAAACAATTACTGATCATTTTCATTCTTCGAATGTTCAATTATGGTACGGCAAGTTCCAGAAATTTGCCTTAAGGCACGATGCCATGTACCACAATTTTTTTCTATTGTTTATTTCCAGGTCAAAATGGCAACTATTGGCGCGTGGACGGCGAAGGAATCTCCTGCGATTCACCCGGAAATCCCGAAGACTTCCATCTGGAGCTTCGTGAACCAACTCGCATTTGTATCAAGGCTGCACGCACAGGCGAATACCTAAGTGCAGGCAAGAATGGTGCATTCAAACTTGGAGATGGACAAATTGAATGGGAGTACTAGATATATAAGATGAGTTGATAAGATCTTTGTCCATGGAAGTGTGATTTGATTAATTAACTGTTTTTACTATATTTATAACAATTTTTTATTTTAATGCGTTTGTCATATGCCTAAATCGAAGATTAAAAGATTAAAAATAAAAACAGCATGAAATTGTACGGTTGGTAGATATTTACAACCGTTAGGTCGAGCAGGAAATTGTAGATGAAAAGGGAGACTTTATTCCAATTTTATTAATGAAGCACAAATAAGTAGATTTTGATACTCATTTTTTTCCAAATCATCAAATCAAACAGTAATATTTATTTGCATTGATAATCATGGAGGAATTAGGTGAGCCTCATAAAGTAGAGAAAAGCAACTTGAATGGTTATGGTCATCAAGGTCAAATTTGAAATATATTTTTATACATGGAAATATCATTTTTCCATTATCCTAATATCACAGAAATATACAAATATAAAATCAAAACAAAGACTAAAATATATAAAATATTGTCTTATTACCACTGTTTTGAATATATCGTAAAGTGAATATATGAATAAATACTACGGTTATATATAAATATATTTTACGGTTGTAGATATTACAGAGAATTTGTTTTAAACAAACAAGAATAATTTTATTAATGAAGCACAAATAAGTAGATTTTTATACTCATTTTTTTTTCAAATCATCAAATCAAACAGTAATATTTATTTGCATTGATAATAATAATTAAGTGAGCCTCGTAAAGTAGAGAAAAGCAACTTGAATGGTTATGGTCATCAAGGTCAAATTTAATATATATTTTTATACATGGAAATATAATTTTTCCATTATTCTAATATCACAGAAATATACAAATATAAAATCAAAACAAAGACTAAAATATATAAAATATATAAAATATTGTCTTATTACCACTGTTTTGCATATATTGTAAATTGAATATATGATGATTATCATTCCGATCGACTTGATGACATATTTATTTTTGTTCCTACATATTGCAATATGTAGGAAAAAAAATAAATATGTCATCAAGTCGATCGGAATGATGACTCTACATGTAGAGTCGGATTTAGATATTTAAGTATTTTGTAAGCTTCTACTGAATTTTTTATCTACTCAAGATCTCCGCCTCCATGTTATTATTTGATTTCATATATATTTTATGTTCGGTATTCGTTATTAGTTTGAAAATATTAAAAAGTATTTTGGAACTAGCCCTGGAAATTTTATGGTCTCCAGTATGGATATTAAAAAGTATTTTGGAACTAGCCCTGGGTTCCAGATGTACTATAGGCCTGATGAAAAATCTATCATCAAACTACCCACAAAAGTTTTATGGACTTCCAATTGAGTTGTAGTCCCAGGAAAAACATTGGAATATGTAAAGCATTTACCAATGCCACATTTTGAACTCTTAATTTCGAGAACAGATTCATCTATTGTTTAGTCTATTAACTTCCTGCGGGCGTTTCCTTTATATTTGAATCTTTAAAGCTCAATCTTCTGCACGCAATGACACTAGTTTTTTTTATCTGAACCAAAACTATTTATTGTAAATAAACAGTATTTATATAGAAAGAGACTCACCATCAAAAAACTCTGTGAATAGCTAATTAAATAAATACTGCTAATTAATAATTTATTAATCACGAAAAAAAATTCTTTTATTATTTTTATCTTATTTTCTGTTCATGCATTTTCTTCAATCGATCCATCGTAGGTTTTCATACTCACATTTTCAAAGTTGGATATATAATTTTATCAAACAGTAATATTTTTTTTGCATTGATAATCATAATAATATCACAGAAAGATACATATATAAAATCAAAACAAGGACTAAAATAATATAAAGTTATATTGCCTCATTGGAACTTTTAATTTAGGAAACTGTAAACCGATTTTTTAAATATCAGTTTTAGTTTCCAATATAATTTATGTGTTAATACCAAGCAAACTACAAAGTGTAATTACTACGTTAATCTAACGTAACCAGGGTAACATTGCGTTTACGTAACATAGAAGTCACACAGATGTTTATACTATCGGAGTCATTTTGTTGCTCGGTTACGTAACGGTTTTATTTTAGTTGCGTTTTCAAATTACAAACTAAACGTGTAGGTGTCTTTTATGCAGCGTTTTCTTTACTGTATCGATTTAGGCATATGATACTTTTTTTATAAATACCTAATTAGTGCATTCTAAGCTAGAAGCATATTTAAAATTTGGAAAATGTATAAGATTTATTTCAAACATCATTTCATATAATATCTTAAGATCTTTGCAATTTGTCTAAACCATTTTACATATATTTGTGATATTGCTCATCGATTTACTATATACATCCTGCAAACTTAAAAATTCTGATCAATATGTAATAATATCGTCATTCAGTATATATAAATATCTATATGAGTAATTAACATTAAATTAGTTTTAAGATAAGTTATATATTTATTTATAAAATAATTCTAAATCAATGATTTCATATTCAAACATTTTATGTTAAGACATATTTTAATAATGGATTATAAATATTATCTTTATGTATATATTTTGTATTTTAAATACTACTACAGTTTTATTGATTTTTGTTTCATATATAAGAGAGGAAATAGGGCTTGTTGCAATTTGGGCTTTACAGAGTTAATTAATAATTTTGAGTCCAAAATATTTTTGTTCAATGTGAACTTTAGGCTTTAAAATAAAATAATCTTATTATACATTAAATACCATAATATTCATGACGATTTGTACCATAGGTGTAATATTTCTTAATAAAATTATCAAAAAAAAAAAAAAACTGGTTGTTAGTAGCATTTTGCATTTTGGCAAGTTGCATGAACATGAAATTCCCGATGTGTAAATAATCGATATAATCAATAATAATTTCTATTTATATGTGTTCTACATTCTATGCCAATTTACCTGTATGTATATCGTTATTTTTAACCTCCCGTAGGGTAGTTAAAGTACTACGTTATAGTTATAATTATAAGGCCGAAAATCGAAAATGAAAATGTTTGCATTTCTCGACGTTTTGAAGGTTTCTGAACATTTTGGCATACCTCAGAAAAAATGAATGTGTGTGTATGTATGTGTGTGCGTGTGTGTATTTTGTATGTTCGCTTTTTTTCGTCCACGTTTTCGGGCGCACGGATCAACCGATTTGACTGATTTAAAAAACATTCGATTCCTATTAAAAGAGAGATGTGCTGATTAGTTTGTGGCAAAGGCAGGTCCAGCAGTTACGGAGATAAAGAGCAGAGTGCAAAAAATGGAAGTTTTTGAGTGAACTAAGCGTCCGATTTGAATTATCTAAAAATTTTCTGCTCGTATTGACAAAACAATTTTTTTGAGGATAAAAAATATTACATCTTTTTTTATTTTCCATAAAATATTTTTGTAATTTTGGATTAATAATTCAAAAAAATTCAAAAAGTGACCCAGGCTAAGCACAGTCTAAGCGCCACTCTGACTGCAAAGCAAACATTCGCAAAGAATGGGATTTGGATTCAAAACAGATTAAGGTAAATTCTACGGCAAATACAAGAAACAATACCTATCAGACCATGGTATGACGAGTTTACTGAATATCGATCGTTTTTTTCTACAATATGTAGACTAAGATTTAACCATACATACACTCTGTTTCACCTGAGTAGAATTGGGATCAATACCGATTCTAATTGCTATTGCTTGGGTGGAGTGACTAGGGCGGATGCTGAGCACGCTATTATGATGTGCAAAAAATGGGAAAAGGGTAGACAAGAACTATGGAGGGAGATAGTAAGAAAAAAATGTTCCTTCCAACCAATTTTATAACATTCTTGAGAAAGAAAAGCATATATCGTGGACTAGACATAATCATATACAAGCAAATAAAATAAAAGTGTAATGAATAATTATAAAATATATTATTAGACTAATGTACGTGTATACAAAGTCAACAAATAAACAATATATATATATATATATATATATATATATATATATATATTTACATTACATTTAAAACAAAGTGACAGTTAAAAACTGTCAACCTGAACGACTTGAAGGTGGTTGTTGCAAAAAAATATATAAATAAACAATACTTCCAGGATTTTAGTATTATTTCTTATTTGAATATTTAAGCTTCGCTTTTTTTGTAGTATTCGAATTTAATTTTGCGCTATTTTGTGAATTTTGATAATAGATTTGCTTTTGTGTTAGTTCATATTCAAATATTTAAATTTGCCGCCATTTTGTACATTTTATTTAACAGACTGCTATTATATAATTTTTAGATAAAATATAAATTCCAGTTACTGCATTAAACTGTTTCAATTCGGCTTGTTGATATACTTCTTGGAGTGAATTTAATTCAAACTTTTATTCAGTCATTCACTCACTCCATTACAATTATACAATAACATAACCTTGAAATCTGCTGTCATTATAGTGGTCAAAGAAGTTCAAAATATTTCAATATGATTTTTAATTTATTGTCGAACGCGATTAAGACAGCAAAGATGAATTATTCAAAGGATTTAGTGCGTTTTTGTTCTATCAATATTAAAGGAGCGACACCAAGCAATTTCGATAAGAAGTTGTTAGTTTATTTTAAAAGATACAGCAGTGTTGAAGAGATCCCAAAATTAGTCCCGTAAGTAATATACAATATAATATATGGTCAAATATAATTAGTCTAAGTTTTATTCAAACTCAATAATTGTAATCAATCCCTGTACAAGGAAAAGGGACAGTTTCAATTGCTGTTTAATTATTCTAACAATTTAGCTTTTTTAATTAATTCACTTTATTTTTTTTTAGTCATGATACATTGCATAAAGTTCGAGGAAAAGCAAGGATGTATTTTGCAACTGCATTTATGGTTGTAACATTAATTGGATGTTACGGGATGGTCAAGAGTGGGAAACATGCAGCTGAAAGAGGAGAATTTGTTCAAAGACAAAATATCGAATGGCATAAACAAATGAAACAAGAATAAAGTACAAAGAATGTTGATCAGTCTCAGGTATTGATACTCAAATTTTTAAAGTGTATATATAGAGTTAAATAAATCAGACATAAATTCAGATAAGAGTAATATTTATTTACATTGATAATCATAATAATATCACAGAAATATACATATATAAAACAAGGATTAAAATATATAAAGTTATATTGTATCATTAGCACTGTTTCGGGTCAAATCCTCAGTTGGAATTGCTGTGTTCTCCTTTTCATCATAATCATCAGATATATTTATTATTTGAGATTCATTGATTTGTCCTAATGAACAACTCAAATTAGGTTCCGATTTAAACGTCTCATCATTGTCTTCATAGACATCACCAACCATTGACTGATATGTTTTTAATTCCATTTCTGCATTTTTTAGTAATTTTTCATAGTGGTTAGTGATGTCGTTGATGATCGTTCTGAACTTTTCAGATACTTCAGCACGTGTGCGCTGCTCAATATCAATTAATTCCATTTTTAAACTATAAAAAAAATATATATAAAATTATAATTTAAGAAGAACATGTAGTAGGATTCTCAGTATAACTTAATTTGCATACTTATTCTGTTCAATTTCTAATTCCTGAATTCTAGCATCTCTTTCATTTATGAATTCATAAAGTTCATCTTTGCTATAACTTGCTTCACTTTCATCTTGACTATCATATTCATCGGATTCTATAACTGTTACTTCTTCTCGAATGGTGCTACTTGGCACACAGTTGAAATATTTAGTCACATTAATCTAATTAAAGAAACAAAATATATTGAGATATGATTTTCTTATTATAAATTAAAAAATATTTCATATGTACAAGCACTTACTCTGCTTATTCTAGTACATTGTTCTGCATCAAGAACAATTTCTTTGGCCAATGATGCAAAGTTTAATGAGTTCATAGTTTCTTCAAAGTATATTTGCTTTGGATGAACATTTACTAACAGTGACAAACGTTCTTGACCTAAAATTCATTTAGGTCATATTTTTATCTATATATACATATATATATATAAATATGTTTAGTTTAAAAATTACTGATTTCAAATGTGCTATATAAGTAAAAGGAGTAGCTTTTACTTATCTCTTTATGCTTACCCAACAGTGCTTTGTGAAAGAGTCTGGTCAGTTTTGATTCTCTAAACGGCACCATTTGCTTAGTTCCATTCATTTGATTCTCTTTAATAATTTTTATACATCTTCCCAGAACATGCAAAGCTGAATTTATAGCCTGAGATTCCTTCAGCCTCATTCCTGTGTGATTTGTATTAGATACTCTTTCCGAACCGGCTAAATCACAGAAGTTAAATCTGCTCACAGTGGCTGTGGTATTATCAGATTTAACCAAATATATTGTAAACACACAATGTGATCGACTTGATGACATATTTATTTTTGTTGCCGCATATTGCAGATTTCTTTGACCGTATTTGAGAATTTTGTAAGCTTCTTCGCCACTTCTAATTACAAAAAAATAAAATTAACATTAGTATTGATTACTTTATGATTATATTTATTTTTATTACCTGGCTAGTACTTTAGTAAGGCCTTTAACATAGTACGTGGCATGTTTATTTTCCTGCAACTTCAGCTTAGGCCTTGTTTGACCATTCTTTACAGTTTTGGTATCTAGTAGATCATAAACATTTTCATTATAAATTTCAGCAAAGGAAATCCATATGTAAGATCTACAATTTGGTTCTACAATATAATTGGACTGCTTTCCATCGTTGTTCATGGCATCTTCCATACTTGCATAAGCAAGAATGGAACGCCTTTTATTTTGCTGACAGGATTTCAAAATCGTTTCCAAATTTTTTATGTCGGCATTTCTGGCAATATTGCTTAAAATTTCAGCCTCCATATTGTCATTTGGTTTCATATAAATTTTATGTTCGGAGCTTGGTATTAGTTTGAAGATATTAAAAAGAATTCTGGGGACTAACCCTGGTGATTTTATAGTCCCTAATATAGAGTGGGTTTTACCAGCTCCAGATGTACCATAAGCCATAATTGTGGCATTATTGCCTGACAAAAAATCTGTCATCAAGCTGCCCACACATGTATTGTAGACTTCACGTTGTGTTGTGGTTCCAGGAAAAACGTTGGAAAATGTGAAAGATTTACCAACGCCACTTTTTGAGTTTTTAATTTCGAAAACTGATTCATCTATTGAAAAGTCTATTAGATCGTTACCTTCTTGGGGGCGTATCCGTAGGAATACCTTTATATTTGAATCTTCAAAGCTCAATCTTTTGCAATTGTCATCCGATTTAAAACCGCCATTGCAGGCAATGACACTAGGGTCTCTTTGAACCGCACCAAAACTATTCATTGTAAAGAATCAGTATTTAAAATATATTTAATATAACGCCTTCGTAATAAAAACACACTATTTAATAAAAATGTTATTATAGATAAAATGCACTGTATAAAATACTATAATTATATTTCTAAGTAAAAAATTAGTTTCAACCGTTTTTGACGTCAGTTAGTACGGCCATCATAACATCACATATATATGAGACTCACCACCAACTTCACCATAGAGCAACAAACTTACCGCCAACTTCACTTTAGAAACGCTAGAAAAAACTGTAAATAACAAATTAAATAAATACTAGTAATTGAAAATTTAATAATCACCGAAAAGTACAGAATTTTTTTTATCTGTTATTACAATTATTCTATAATAATTTCCTGTTTAAATTTTCCCGCACTTCTTTCAAACGTCGCGCTGGAGATATGTTGCGCAGCTCCATCTAACCATCGGAAAAGTAACCTGTCGCCATTTTCTATACTCATAGCAAGGTGATCCATTTGACAGGGGATCACAATTTTCTAAAACTAATTTTATTTTAATTATCAAAATGGGTTTCGGAGATTATCCAGCTGAATATAACCCAAATGTGCACGGACCGTACGATCCAGCTCGCTATTACGGCAAAGGTAAGTGGTAACATAATATATTGGTTAAATCTGTATAAAAGTGCTTACTATAGTTTTTTCATTTAATACATAAGTTTTCGTTGCGTGGTGGGTGATATATTGAAAAATCTTACCTAATATGTACCACGCATGTCGAATTTAAAAAAAAATAATGTTATGTAATATTGAATAATTTTTTGTTATTATGTAATATCTTTTTAGCCGATACTCCTTTGAGTCAAGTAAAGATAGGTGAACTTGGAGCATGGTTTGGGCGCAGGAATAAGTCTCCACAAGCTATGGCTGCTTGTGTCAGTCGTGGTATGAGTATTGATAATAGTAGAAATATTCAAAATCTGTTTCATTGTTTTTTAAACCTAATTATATTGTGTTTATATTAGCTTGGTGGCGTTGGCAGCACAAATATATTCACCCAAGAAAAGCTGGAATTGCAGGATTCTATCAATTGACTGTTGGATCAATGATTTTGTTCTATGCTTTGAATTACGGCAAGATCTGTAAGTTCTTCCAGAACATAATTTAAATTTTAATTTTAATAGCAATATAGTTTATACACGTCTTTTAATTTCAGCTGCTCACAAGAACTACAAATACCACTAAAACCAAACATCTTACAATGGTAGTGTGTCTGTTGATGGCAGAATAAATTTCTAAATGTAAAATCTGTATCAATATACAATTCAATATATTAAATTACACGAGAAATTGAGGTTTTATTTAAACAAAATATACATGTTATATGATGTAAATGATGTTAAATATGATTTTATATATAAATTTTAACATTTGAAAACAAATCTTGCAAGTTTCAGGATTATAACTTACAAAAAATCTAACAGCAGCAAGTTATGTTAACTACATTATTATAATTTATTAGTTTAATACTAAATATTAGTAAGAACAAATTTATTGTACTGTATCAAACGTTAGTATATCTTTCACAAATGATGCAACATCTGTTGGTTTATCTCGATGGGTCACACAAAATTCATGCTGCAATAACTGTTGATAATTGGGTCTACGTTCAAATTGTTTTTGTAAACATTGTTCTATCAAGTTTTCAAATTGTTCACTATATACACCGGCTGGTAAACGAGGAGGATCATCTTTCACAACCTAATGGAAAAAGTAATGAGTAAAAATTCATTTACTACTTGCTACACATATTTAACAATTTTTACCTGTTTTAGTTGTTCAAAAGGAGTTCCCCATGTATTGTAAGGAAATCTACCAGTTGCCAATTCCAATAAAGAAATACCAAGTGACCAGACATCAGATCTTATATCATAATGTGATGGATCCCCATTTGGATCAATTCTTTCAGGCTGTAAAGAAAAAAGGCTATTACTAACCATTCAGGTAATAAAATAAAACCATTATTTATCAAGATACTTACTGCCATGTACGGTTTACACCCGGCATCAACAGTTTTTGCTATTGAATCAACCAAATATCCACTAATTCCAAAATCACAAATTTTTACATCCCCTTTACGGTTTATAAGTATGTTTGAAGGCTTCACATCCCTAAAATCAATAGTAATGATTATTGTCAAGATAATTTTCAATGTAAATGCTATATGATTGTTTTTACAACCTGTGAATAACTCGTAAATTAGAATGTAGATAGTTCAAAGCACTCACTACGCTAAAACAAATTTTTCCCAAAATATCTTCAGGTATACTTCGACCATTTTGATATGCCAGCATATAAAACTGATCCAACGATTTGTCCATGACCTAAATAAAGGACATAATAGTAAATTATTTTTTATTTCAAAGAGTCAATTATTATTGTGTCTATTATAAATATTTGTATTTTTTTACCTCCATGCAAATCCAAACATCGCCTTCCCTGAATAAAGCACCATAAAAATGCACTGTATAAGGACAGTCGCTTGACCTCATAGATATATCGAGATCCATAAGTAGCCTTTTCTGTTCTTGACTATTTACAGTGGCAGTTATTCTTTTAACTGCCATTACCGTGCCGGAGGGCTTATGGCACATCTTTTCAACAATTCCTTCAATTAAACATTGAAATTAACCAAATATTAAATAAATCAAGACTGTTTCTATTATTACCATATGCCCCTCTTCCCAAATCACATATTTTTTCCAAATCATCTGCAGCCACAGAGAAATTTCTGTCATCAATTGTAATTGTCGTGCTCTTATCCAAATTTCTCGGTGGCGTTCTATATTAAAAATATCCATTACAATATGCAGTTAATTTTAATAGCAGATTTGTTACAATTCTTACACAGGTTGAGGGACTTCATCAGTCACTTGTAGTTTAAGGTTAGGACGGTTTTTTCGAGATGCCATTTGGGATTATTGAAATAAAATATATAAAATCACAATAAATAATTTACTTTTGTAAACATATTAACACTATAAATAATTATAGAGAATTAACCCTAAATGAAAATTAAATAGGCTTTTTATATTATGACATTTCTTTTATTTATGTATAGTTGAGTGTTAAATGTAACATGACACAGTAATGTTTATTTGTTTTTTGATAAAAATAAGTAGTGAATGGTAAATAATTATTTTTTAAAGCTTTTATGTAACATTTTATAAATAAACACTATACAATTTGCAGGTAAATTCCAGGAATTGACAGTTTAGAAACATGAAGTTGGTCGTGGACGTATAAAGACCTGCGCACACTGTAGTAAACTAGTCCTTTCAATGTTAATATTTATCATTAGAGTATTTTTTAGCCAAATTATCGTATTAAAAACAATAAATATTTGAATTATTTATTTTGTACGTTTTGACAATATATGTGTGTCATCATTCAGTAAGTTAATACCATTATTATTATTAGTATATTGTCTAGGGTTAATACTGAGAAAAACATCAACATTGTTATGAAAAATATTAAAAACGAAACATTTAAATAAAATTAAAATATGAATAATTTAACACAAATAATGATTTGTTTATTACTTATTAGCTATATAGGTATTGTATTAGTTTTGTTTAGTAGTGCTTCAAAACAGCATTAATTATTTTATTAAATAACTGAGTTTTTGTGAATTTATTGAAAAATGTGACAAATATCGTTAGTGCGCGATGGTCCTAAGCAAAATACAATGCGGTTTTTGACTTTTGTCAAAAGAAATAAATAAATGTATCAGAATTTTTTTATATCTATTTATTGAAACAAGTGGAAATAGTGCAAAAGATCTTTTATGGTTCTGATTTTGATATATTTTAATTTCTAAATTCCTATACAGATAATAAATTGTACTTGTGCAAAAGCAAATGTCCAAAATGAAAACTAAAAGCAAGAAGGTTATTGCACCGATCAAAATTAAAGAAGAAAAAACTGCTAATAATGGTAAAAGTTTATTAAATGTGAAATATGTGAACATAATATATACTTTCTTATGTATGTAATATTATCGATCAAGCAATTTATATATAAAATGTTTGTTACTTATCCTTTTACATTTCCAAAAACTTTCTTTTAAAATATGTTTTTCACTTTGATGTCCTTTAAATTTTATTATATTTTTAATGAAAATGAAAACAAATTAGCTATGAATATTTTATTTATATTTAATCAATATAACAGTTTTTGATAAAGATATTATTTTTCAGAGTTAAAAGAACTAAGTTTTTATGTGGATGACCGAGTAGCACTAATGCAACAAGTTTTTATGACGATTAAACCTAAAAAATTAAAATCAATGGCCCCTGACTGTTTAAAGGTAAAATAATAATAAATATTACTTCTCACATGCAAGGAGCAAATATTTTTTGTAATCATGAATTTGAATGAATGATCTTTACAGGACTTAGAAATAACGCAAATAAAAGAATTATGCTTAGATGAAGTTTTGGGAATATCTACAAAGCGATTGAAGTCTATAATACAAGGTACTGGTAATACATTTATGTACATACATTTTTTTACATATATTATATACATAATTTTTTTTATTTTGAATAGGTACAAAATGTCCATCGGATACAAACAGTGATTCAGATGTCGGTGAAATTATTGGTTAGTATTTTTTCATTACTTCTTGTATCATGTAAGAGTTGATAATAAATATTAATAGTATTATTTTTTAGAACACATTTCTCTGGATGAAATATCTTCTGATGATTCAGTCACATTCATGTCGGATGAAGAGAAAAATAAAAAAAATAAACCAGGTAATTACTTGTATATATAAACATTTATTCATTTATTTATTTATTTATCAATTCGATGATTTTTTCAGCAAACAAAGAAATGACAGTTTTGGAATTAGTTGAATTACAAGCTCGGGCTCGTGCAATACGATCTCAGTTGGCTTTAGAACCTATTAAAAAAGAAGTTGAGGATTCCGAAGATGAGTACAATGATGTTAATGCAAAGACGAATAGTAAAAGACATGCACCCAAAGGTTGGTCTTAGAAATTTATGTTTGATATATATTTTTATTTTTGTATTTTTATTTATGATCATTATTTGCTTCATGAACTTTGAAATATATCATATTAAACTTATTATTGTTCTGAATGTGATTTGACTCCAAATCCATATCTATAGAGTATAAATGTTTAAAATACAAGTGTATATTAATATATATAGTGGTACCCCGACATACGAGTTTAATTCGTTCAGTGATCGCGCTCGTATATAGAATAGCTCGTATCTCGAAGCAATTTTTTCCATTGAAATGACATTAATTCGTTCTAGCACAGTGGGTTTTGTTAAGTCTTTATGAATATTTAAAATAATTATTAATTTATTACTTTTTGTCTATTTTTACTGTTGTGGAAAACAGTTTTGAAAATAAATTTCCTTCACTGAAATTCGATTAGGAATTGATCAATTAAACAAGTTATTTTTTAACTACTCGTAGGGTATGTTATAGTAATCATTGAAAAATCGAAAATGAAATTTTTTACATATCTTTACGTTTCAAAGGTTTCTGAACATTTTGGCATACCTTAGAAAAAATTGATGTGTGCGGATACAAATTTTCGTCGACGATTTCGGGAACACGGATCAACCGATTTGAATAATTCAAAAAACATTCGATTCGTATTGATAAGGAAACTTGTTTATTAGTTTTTGGCGAAGGCAGGTCCAGCCGTTCCGAAGATGCGGGGCAAAAAGTGCCACAAACGGTAACTCAGTTTTTAAGAGAACGGAGCGTCCGATTTTATTAATTCAAAAAACATTTTACTTGTATTGACAAGATCAAAAACTGATTAAATTTTTGGGAAGGCAGGTCCAGCGGTTATGGACTCTCAATAAAAATAAGTTCAAAAATGTCGTTTGGCGGTCAAAAATGTTTATTGGGCATATGTACATCAAATTATCAGTTATTTTATAGAGATTTTTAATAATGTGTACACATTTTGTGTAAATTTTTTTGGGTTCCATACCAAGATTTTGAATTACAATTCAAATACAGCAATTTGCCTTAAAGCACGATGTCATGCACGACTAGTTATTTTATATTTAATTATCATTTCAATGAAAATACTGTCCTTCTCTTTGTATTATATTTTATTTATATATCTAATGTTACTAGTATTTTTTTAGCAATTGTAACAGATAATGAAATAAAAAAAAATAACTAAAATTTTTCTAGAAATATTTCTTATGGGCTATACAACGTTTCCAGGTTAGTTAATATTATGAGATATAATTTGACTAACTATAAATTAATTCACTATCATAAAACAGCCAAAATATTTCTATGGTAAAAAAGTCATTTTTGAAACAGACGAAATTTTTCATATTTTCATTTTGTCATTAACTCGTATCTCGAATTTTGCTTGTATGTTGAAGCAACCAATCGCTACTTCGGCAACTCGTATCTCAAAACACTCGTATGTCGGGGTACAGGTATTTATTTATCCCTTTATTTATTTATAACGGTGCTTTATCGAAATATTTGCATTTTGTTACGCATCATTATCAGTCTATACAATTTTAGAACGAGTAACCCAAACTGAAAAATATGATGATGCGCAACCTGGTCCTTCCACAAAACCAAATCGAAATTACAGGACCAAAAATAATCACGAAATCCTTAACCAACATCCTAAATCACCCGTCAACAATATTACTTCTAATAGTAATATTCCCATAGAAAACGAAGAACGTGTCAGAACATCAGGCTCTGAAAAATCGGTGCACGGATGTAGACGTTCTAGAAAAAAGAAAAAAAGTCACTCGAAACGAACTTTATCAAACGATAATAGAACCAGGCAGATCGAGTTGAACAGTAAACAAAGTTTGAAAGTCAACGTATCTTTTAATGAACAAGTTGACAAGGATGATGATGAAATTAATTTGTATGTGAGTGATACTGAGAAGCAGGAGCTGCTCAGTGACGCTGTAAATAATAGAAGGACATCAAAGAACTCGGAAAGTGATATTTCAATAGTCGATTTGAATAATTCACCATTGATTATATCGAGTGAGAATGAAAACGATTTTAAGGATGATAGGGAAGATGGTGAGTTGGATTTGGAGGAACCAACGTTGGACATCAAGAAGGAATTGATCGACGACGATGGTAAAAAAGATAAAAAAATAATCAGTAAGCAAAATGAAACCAATTCCCAAACTAGTAAGAAAGTTGATTCCAATTCCAACGATGATTTATCTTCCGATGAAGGAGGTTTGGAAGAAAATACAGACTGGAAAGCTCGATGGATAAATAGCGACAAAGTCAAAAAAGTTCTGGTCACAAGCAAATTATGCAGTAGCATCAAGAAGAAACAAAAGTCTTCGCAAAGTGCAAAAAATGACACAAATGCAAATGATACTACAGCTCCTACCGTTGTTGAAGAATCTCAACCCGGGCCAGAACGTGTTGAAATCACTGGATCCGTTGAAGAATTTGAAAAGTTGACTGGTATTAACAAGGAAAACAAAAATGTTGAAGCTGATGTTGATGGTAAAACGAAAGCAGAGGATCAAACACAATCTAGTACGTAACAGATATTTATTTAATAAATTTTATATATACATAACTATATGTATTTTTATTCATTCATTACAACAATTTTTTGCCTAGCCCAGGGTTTCTCAAACTTTTGTTCTTTGGAACCCCATTTATGATTGCGAGTTTTGTGGCAACCCCATTTATGATTCCGAGTTTCTCGACGACCCTACACGTATAAAAAAAATACATTAATATTTTCCAATGATTCATTTATTTGGTAACGATATAGGCAAACATATACATAAGAAAATATCTTGTTTAAGAATTTGTTGAGAACATACAAAAATCAAGACGTGGTATTATAAAATGATATAAATATTTGACAATAAAATCTCTCGCAACCCCAGAATTTTTTCACGTGACCCTGTTTGGGGTTGCGACCGATAGCTTAAGAAGCTCTGGTCTAGCCTATTAATTTATTGTTTATTCTTTTTCTTCATATAATATGTTCCATATACTCGTACAGTGAAATAATAAATCAGCTCAACGAAGCTTAGCAAACTGGCACCTACGAATAATGATGTGGTACCTCCCATGGACACTAAAAAAAACGAGATTTACATAATAGTTTGAATTTGAATTTATGAATTTATTTACATTAAAATAAAACAGAACCTATTTCAAAAATTTTAAATCCATATGATCAAACGTTATAAGGACTTGCTTTGATTATTTTTATGCAGAACATAGTAAAATATTAGAGGCCTTCGACAAGTGGTTTGATTATAAAACTTTTTTTGCAATCAGCAATGTTTTTCAGAAAATACTTGGTGTACGTTTTAGGAACATACTCAGTATTTTTTTTAAATCATGTGTACTATTTTCTACAATATAGAATAATCTGTAAAATTTTCTACACTAATTTATGTATCGACTGTCGATAATTCTTTTTGACGATTTTGATGATGGAGAAAAGTGGTTCAGACTTCTTATTTAAAGGAAGGAAATAAAAGGGCGACTTACCGACCAAATCCAATTTTCCTCTGACGACTTGTCTGCGATATCTTTCTGTCGGTAATGATTGTATAGAAATTTCTACTTGGGCTATCGGATTATCAGATCTGGAAATATTTAAGGTTCATTGGTAATTTTATAATCACTAATAAAAATAATAGTCATTGTTCAATTTATAGTAATCGCGAAAACGTTTCAAAGGTTTCTGAACATTTTGGCATAAATTAGAAAAAATGGATGTATGTGTGTGCGTATGTATGTGAAGATACTAATTTTTGTCGACGACTTTGTGAACACGGATCAACCGATTTGAATGATTCAAAAACATTCGATTTGTATTGATGTGAGACTGCTGATTAGTTTTTGGCAAAGGCAGGTCCAGACGTTTCGGAGATACGGAGCAAAAATTGAATACGGAGCGAAA